ATTGAGGAGATCTAGATGCTTTTAGAAGATATGATAGTTCACTTCAGGATGTCAAATCTGTGGATGACATTGTTCCTTCATGTTGAAGACATCTGGTCATCGCCAAACTTTTATTTCCTGAAAGATCAATATAAAAATGATGCATTTATGAATAACTATCCTGGATGTTATGATGAAGTTGATTTCATGTATTTGATTTGTTTTTTTTTATTTTGATAAAAATGACCTTTTGAATTTGTCCTCTTGAGAGGAGAAAATGATATTGTGAATGGAAAATTAGACGATGTCCTCGTGAGAGGATAAAAATGGCCTTTGAGAAAAATGAAATAAGGATTTCAAGGAAAAACAATCTTAAGATAAACTAGATTGATGGTTTTAGACAAACAATCTTGAAAAAAATGAAATTAATTTCTCAAAAGCAATTATAAGAGTATCCTTATGAGAAAGGAAAAACCTTTTTATTGCAATGTGATGATGAATGTATAATGCAAAAATGCAAATTTCTTGTGACATGAATATATATGTTGATTTATGTTTTCGTGATTCAATTGTTAGGGACGGATACTAGAGCACTCTTCCTTCTATCCCTGATTCAGTTGTCTTCATTCTTTGTTTGCACCAGCATGCATCCTGGCAATTCTTGACTCGTGTCAATTTCTTCTTGCCCTAGCAATTTTTTCCTCTGATAAAAAATTGGCATTCTCTGCCCGAACTTGTGTAGAAATCCAACAAAGCTTCCCTCCTGATGCCATCATCATCATCTCCAGATGGTTTGAAATGAGAATATATCATTTCAAGCTTCGGAGATTGTTTACGCACATCTGTCCTATATCAAGAAATCAAAGGCCACTGCCTGGAGCTAACCACCGCAACAATTGATGAAATATCATACTGCCTAGGAGAGCCATAAAACACATCTATGCCAAGGATGATAGTTGGAACCTTAGAAACAATTGGAATTGAAGATGTTTGTTCAATTGCTAACATCTAATTCAGCCCTCCAAGCTTTGTATTAATTTTTAAAAGCAAATTTGTAAGGTGCTGATTATTGACCCTAGTTGGAGCCATACACTGTGTGACTATGTCAAACTCGAAAAGATTCATAAAGATCAGAATTTTCGTATCAGGTAAAGCACAAAGGAGGAAATGTGGAGATACAGGAAGTTTGGATGTTCTCAAACATTCAACAACTTATTCATAATTTCTTGTGGCTTTTGTATAGATTTTTCAACCAAGAAAGCTTTTTGCATGGTGTTCAGGGCTTTTGTATAGCGTTGCAAGGACACCAAAGAACAAAACTCAGTGAAACACTTTGGCTTGGGAAATCACTAGAGTAATACATCTGTATGTTGTGACAATAGACAAAACATTCATATAATAAGCTCTATTGTCTCTGCTTCACCATTTTCAGTTGTCACACCTTTCTGACTCATTGATGTCCGCTCAATTCAATGATGTTGTACTCTTGAAAGATATGGGTCTTCAAAAATGCCCCAATATCTATCATTTATGAATGTTACAAGCCTTCAAAAAATGCCACAAACACTTATCATTTATGGCTTCAGCACTGATTCTAAGCATGAGCTTTATGTTTGGGAGCTATGTGTCAACTACCAAGATCTACTCCAGAGAGATTGTCTTGTTTGAAAATGTTTTCTTCTCCTTTTATTTTCAAAAATTTGAAAAATATCAATTAAAAGAGTTTTGAAAAATGTTTAATAAAAAAATTTGAAAAAATATTGCCCCTTTCTAGGTTTCACAATTGAAACAAATCATAAAGCTAGAATTCATTGAATATCAAAGAATTAATTACACTTTTAATCATTCTTGCATTTGAATATGATGATATCCACTCTTTAAATCTACCTTGGAAAAGATACTTGCACCACATAATTCACCAAGCATATCATCAAGACGAGGAATACGATGTCGATACTTGATAGTAATCTGATTCACAGCTCGAAAATCGACACACATTCTCCATGTTCCGTCTTTCTTTGGCACCAACAACACTGCTACAACACACAGACTCGATCTCTCTTGAATGTAACCTTTCTCCATCAACTCAGTGATTTGCTTCTGAATTTCTTTCATTTCTTCAGATTACTTCGATATGTTGGCCTATCTGGAATAATAACTCCTGGAATAAAGTCAATCTGATGCTCAATGCCCCGAATAGGTGGCAATCTACTCGGTGACTCATCTGAAAACAAATCCTCAAATTCCTGCAAAAAAGATGCAATAGACACATGTAAATCAATGGGAATTTTAGCCAATAAACAATGCTCTTTATACATTAAAATAAGTAAAGACTACTGGGAGGAAATACATTTCCTGATTTCCTTTCTGTCTGCGTACACGCTCATCTTTTTCTTCCCTTTTGCTTCTTCAGTATTCTTTTTCAAACGAACTTGATCTTATTGCACTTGACTTGGTGTCAAAGGTGCTAAGGTGATTTTTTTTGCCTACATTCATAAAAGAATATCTATTTGTAAAACCATCATGCATCACCTTTTTATCAAACTGCCACAGACATCCCACCAACAAATGAGTGGCATCCATTGACACAACATCACTTCATCCTTGTACTTTCCACCATCATTCAACCATTGTAGCTTGTACGGATTGGGATGCTTTGTCATTTTCAGTCCTAACTTATCAACCATAACAATACTTGCAATGTTAGTACAACTACCACTATCAATAATCACAACACATACCTTGTCATTTACAAGACATCTTGTATGAAAGATGTTCTCTCGCTTATGTTCATCTTAAATCGGTTGTGCATTCAAACTTTTCTTAACCACAAGTGCTTCACCCATTGCACACGTCTGTACTTGGTCATCATCTTCATCACCGTCCACTAAAGGGGTTTCTTGCTCATCATCTTCAGATTCAGACTCTATATCCCCATTTACACGCATCAACATTGTCTTTCGGCTAGGACACTAACTTACAACATGCCCTCTTCCAAGGCATTTGAAGCATTGGATGTCTCTTGTGCGTTCTGGATGCATATGTTGCTTTCCACGTCCAACTTCAACAATGGGAGGCTTCAGACTACTTGATTCTGTTCTTTCCTTAATCTTAAGTGGTGTTTGTTTCCTGGCATTGTTAGGAGTGAATAATGGATTAGAGAAAACTTTAGAAGGAGTATTACCTCGGTAAGAATATTTTCTGCGTTGTTGCCTTTCTTTTTTTATTGTCATATGCACCATGTCATCCAACTCGACATAATGTTGCAACTCGACAACGTTAGCAATTTCAAAATTCAAACTGGCAAGAAAACGTGCCATAGTTGCTTCTCTATCTTCCTTGATATTTGCACGCATCATGGTCATTTCTATATCCTTGAAGTAATCTTCAACACTTCAATTACCCTGGTTCAAGTTTTGTAATTTCTGAAATAAATCACGATGATAATGAGATGGAACAAACCGTTTTTGCATGACTCGCTTCATTTCTGCCCACGTGTTCACTGAACCCTCACCGGTTCTTCTTCTACTGATCAACAATTGATCCCACCAAAGAAGAGCGTAATTGACAAACTCTATAGCTACCAAACAAACCTTCTTTTGTTATGAGTAATTATAACACTCGAAAACATGCTCAACCTTACTCTCCCATGCCAAATACGCATCGGGATCTGTTCGTCCTTGAAAAGATGGAATTGTAACTTTTATGTTAGCCAAATTATCATCAAATACACGCCCTTGTCTTTGATTCAGTCTCTGAGGCTGATCAATTTCATTTTCATCATTAATATCTTCATTATGATGCGATTGGGATCCTCCATCGATTTTATCCATTATAGATTGTAAAGGCTCAAGTTCAGCCCTTAACATCATTTGTATCTCACGAGTAATGGCCTGCATTTGCAAGTTTGGAGGTTGGCCACCCGGATTGCTATCTCTAGAACCTGTCATATTAGTAAAAACAAGACGACACAAGATAATTAATGTATATAGGACCTCACAACACACACACACACAAAGATTCTCACAATTTCGGTCCAAAGAAATCAGAATTGGCACTAAATCACTCAACACTCGTGTTTCACTCGGGAGAAACTTTTAATGGCTCTTTTTCTGTCTCACTTTCTGATCTCACACGCTCAATATACATTTTCCACTCGTTCCCTCGTAATCAGTTCTTTTACGAACTAATTTATATCTTTCAGAATTTGTCAAGTGTGTCGGCTAAAGGAAACAACAACGATTAACTTAAATTGGAAAATAATGAAAGGAAAGGCTAAAATTCAAAGGAAACAAGGAAAGAAGAGATGAAAAAGAAATCAGTAAACTTACTACAAAGAAATGCTTACAATGAGCCTTTCACCGAAACAATCTAAGATGTTGCATTTTGGGTTGAATCAAAGCATTTCAATGTTGAAGAACACAAGATGATTGCACTTTTCTTTTCTCAAAATCAAATTTCTTTTTTTTCGGAATATCAACTTTTTTTATTTTTGGATTTTTTTTTTACTTTCAAAGATGAATTTCTTACTTGGTTCAAACCTTTGCTCTGATTACCACATGATATGAGGCAACCTGTTAAATGAGGACCTCTTCGATTGTAATGGATCTAGAACGAAGTAAGCAATTCCTTTGTAGAAAACTTACTAAAACTAAGGATGATGTTGTTGGTTGTATGGTTAAGGTTAAGGACAAAAATGGATAATAAAGGATGAAGAAAATAAGGAATTAGGTTACTGAAAATATTAGAATGGTGTAAGAGTGAAGAGATATGCTTGGTGACGATTATAATAGTGGAAAAGAAGAAATCTGAAAGTTTTGGTTAATAAACAAAGAACAAGGAAGAACATATACTAAAAAGTATAAACCCGAACCTTATATGTTCAAAGGACTTGTTCAAAATTCTAAAAGTTGTGTCCCACACGCGTCAAACTTGGAAATATAAGCCGTATATATATGGAATAGGTGTTTTGTTTGGAAGTTGCCTTTGTTGTGTAATTGCTTCCCTTTTAAAAAGTTTCTTGGAGAAGGGGTCATTCCCTCTCTTGCGTTTTGCTCGCTCTGTCTTAGATCTTTCTCTTCATCTCATCCGTAATCATGGCTTCTGCAAACAGATGGCTCAGACCTGAGGTATTCTTTTCACTTCTCTTTCTTAATTCATCCTTTGTTGTGATCTTTAAAGACGATATATTCATTTTATGTTTAACTTCTTGTTCGTTTAGAACAGATCTACGCGTTGGGGTAAAAACAAAACTATGAAAATGTTAGGTACATTAGGAACAATTATACTTTGGTATTCTTTATGTTATGATCTGTAAATCTCGTATCATAGACTGTGTCTTTATACATTCATGCTGATATATGAATCTGAGGCCTGAACTTGGATCTTATCTTGTTTCATCAAATTAGCATTGAATCTATAAAAGTTTGTGTTTGACACAATAGGTTTATTGTTTTCTCTAATTCTTTTATTTTCTTTCTCCATACCATCATTGACTGTGTCTTTTTGCTTAATCTAAAAAAAAATTGAACCATTTAAAACAGCCTCCTTACTCAGATCATCAACAACACTCGTATAGTATTCATGTTTGAATATTTGTCTAATGCCAACGTATTTAGAACTCTGTTTCATTTACAAATCTTAAAAAACAAATCAATTGCTCATGGTTTTCTTCCCTTCATTCCTGTTTAGGTGTATCCGCTATTTGCATCGGTGAGTGTCGCCGTTGGCATTTGTGCTATGCAACTTGTGAGGAATATCACCACCAACCCTGAAGTCAGGTATATATATATATATATATATATTGAGTAATTTGATTTTACCCAAAGTTAGATTCAGAGTATTCAAAGTTGGATTGCAGAAAATTGAGATAACAAGGCACACGTTTTTGTATCTGACATAGGGTAACCAAAGAAAAGAGGGCTGCTGGAATTCTTGAGAACTTTGAAGAAGGTGAAAAATATGCAGAACATGGGCTGAGGAAGTTTATCCGCAAGAGACCACCTCAGATCATGCCATCTGTTAACAACTTCTTCTCTGACCCAAATTAAAGCAATTGCTGAATTCTTCAAACTTTGAGCTGCCTATGGAATTTATTGAATTGGAGAGTAAAATTGTTTTTTCTTTCACATTTTAAAGACAGTACAAGACAATTGTATTGTTGGCTGTCAAGAATATTATTATTGAATAATAAAATAAATAACCAGAGGAGTTTAATATGTGCTTACATATGAACCTATGAGATTGAGTAATGAAATTGAGAAAATATTTTTTTATTTGTATCATATTTCACTGTTCGATCCAGGTTTGATTTAATTATATGAACCTATTTGTTTTAAACTAATTCAGTTCGGCTAAAAGCTAATCTTTTAAATGAAAAACTATCATACATATATATGCAAGCTGCAAGGAATAACATAAATCGTACCTGATACATCTCGATTTTACTCTATCAAATTTAAAACTTAATTGTTAAAATTTTATGTTCGAAAAAACTGTGTTTGTAAATTGTATGTACATTATCAATAATTAAAAAAGTTTTTAAACAAATATTATCTTATAATTACACGTACTATTAAAAAATGTTTGTGGAGTTAAAGCAATGCATTGTGGTCCATTTTCATGGTTCATTGAAGTTTCTGTATCTTAGCACAAAGGTTTAGAGCAATAATCCCACATTGGCAAGACAAAGACGCCGTGAGCACTAAACCCAATATAAATAACCAAAAGTTAAATCTGTAGAAGCATGCGATCCTGAGCACATAGCGAACTATTCTTTCGTCTTTTATTAAAGAATACCGTGAGCTCGTTGCATATAGCGGCATATGCCTATTTTTGGAGGGTTCTTTATTTTGAAATTGCCCTGAAATTGAAGTTTGAAGCTTTGGTTTGCGCACTTTGGATTCCATATTTTTTTCTTTTAGTGTTAATTTCGAATTTTCGAAGATGTCTATTTATTTGAAAAAAATATATTTAGTTTTTATAATAGAGTTATGTTCAACTCCAGGATACAGCACTCGAGTTCAATTTAACGAAATTAATACTTTTCATAAATAAAACATGTACACATTGCATTCATGAGTAAATTATATAAATAAAATATATTATATTAATTAATTAAATGATGTCATGTATAAAATGATTAATTAAATATAATATATATCTCTAAAAGAATTACGTTCATATGTAGTATTAATTATAACTTGACATAAATTCATGTATGGTATAGAAATCAAACGCTATATAATAAAATAAAATATTCATGATTAGTCCATCTCAATTAAAACGAACAATCATAGTTTCACATCTAAAAGGTGTCTAAAAATCAACTATAATAAATCAGATACCAATTAATTATAGCTTCACATCTAAAAGGCGTATAAAAATCAATTATAGCAAATTAAATACATAAAGTAATAGGTGAATATAAGAGAAATTAACTAACACTCAAATAATTTACAATAGTAGATTGACAAAAATTTTAATTAGAAAGTTAGTCAAGCTATTATATTGAACACACTTAAGCAATCATATAAGTACCTATCGATTAACTTGAAAAAAGGAGGGAATATCAATCAATACAAACCTATAAAATATCTAGATATTAAGAAAGTTATTTATGAGTGGTTTCTTCAATGCAAAGAATATGTAAACATGGCCGGAGAATTAATTTTGCAGAAGGTAAGAGAGACGATGAAATTTTTATACCCCAATAACTTTATGAGTCACACAAATTTTCTATGATCATATTTTACTAAGTTGTCATAATTATATTTGTATTTTATAGAAATATTAATTTATAATGTTGAATGGGCCATAAATTTATCTTATTAATTTAGATCTTGGGCTAAGTCGGGACCAAAACAATTATGGTTTAAGGGTTACTTTTGCCTATTTAGTAGACTTAATTTACCATTTTCGTTCCTATAATATTTGCATTAATTTAACTCTCAAAAGTTGTTTAATTGCATCAATGTTTAAAGTATTTTCTATTGTTTAGGGTTTTAAGTTGGAGTTTAAAGATTAATGTCTAGGGTTTAGGATTTAAGTTAATTTTAGGGTCTAGGTTTAGGATAATGTAATTAAACAACTTCGAGAGTTTAAATTGTTGCAAAGATATCATAGAGCAAAAATGATAAATTGAGTCTATTATATAGATAAAAATAACTCTTAAATAAAAAATTATTATTTGAGAGAGATTATTACTTTATGGAATTACTATATCTATTTCTTACACAGAATACAGTCAAACTTATATGATGCCACCTGAGTTTTACAACAAAGAATGGTAAGAAAATTGCTCTATTTCACATCTGACCTTGCAGTTGCACCAGTAAACTCTGCATGCTATCTAGTTTCTGTCTCATTTCTTTAATATGCAAACGATGATTCTCCTCCGAAAACGATGAATCGGATAATTCAGTGACGAAAGTAGCACACTTGGCCTGTGAACCCAAAACTGCCTCCTCAAGCAAAGCCACAGTTGAGAGCTGGTCTTCATTTATCATTTTTTATAATGGAGACTGTCCCATACTTCCAGCACTGCCTCCTCGTTTGAGCTTTATCCGATGAGAAAATCTTGTGGAAACCCTCAATCCCAATCAAAGCTTCATAGAGGGTTGTGACATTGTCGCAGACAAATTTGTTGTCTTCAGCGACTAGAGACTGATTCTGAAGTGAAAAACTTTGCACACAGCCGGGGTTCGACGCAAGCTGCTAGAAAAATATAAAATGTACTGGATGCATCTTGAGTTTTACTTATACGAAATTTTAAAATGTTTATTCGAAGTACTATATATATATTGTGTTCAGTGCAATGTCATCTTGGTCCCTCCCTTTTTTCTTTATTTATTGAAGTTAGTCTTTTTTCCTGGTTGGCCTGTCTAGCAATAAAGCTGCAGAGCACTAATCCCATATGGACAATAAACAGCACCACGCATTCCAGAAAAAGTATAAATATCCGCAAATTAAACTCAGAGTGGCACGCAGCCATGCAGTGAGCACAAAACGAACTATTCTTTCGCCTTTTACTAAAGAATACCGTGTGCTCTCTGCTCAAAGTGGCATACGCCAGTTTTTGGAGGGCTTTTTCTTCGGAATAAGCCCCAAAATCTGAGTTTAAGAGTTTTACTTTTTCGAATATAATGGTTTTTCAAGGCCTGTAATTTCAGTAAGAAAATTGAGTTTTTAAGAAATCACTTTTCTCTATTTCTATAGAAACATTGGATGTTTCTTCACCGTGAGTAGAGTTATGATCTTTCTTTGTTCTTCCCCGAGAAGTGGACTTGTTTGAGCAATCATGGAAATCAGTTTCGAAAGGTTGTGTATAGGTTCCTGTTGGATCCTACAAGTTAGAGCTGAAGGTACTGTCTCGAATGTTAATGGTGATTTATAAAAGAAAAAGCTCTACCTTTTTTGCTCCCTTAAAGTTGTATTTTCATAAAAGAATATGGTATTCAACTTGCTAACCCCGAGTTTTACTGACAAGCACAGTCCGTATTCAACTTGCTCCATCCACATGGAGGCGCTTGCCAGGCGATATTGCGGTAGCATTCGACTAATCTGCCATTTAGCTCTTGATTCCAATGCACGATTGGCCTCGAGACATAATCAGTAGCTCTCTCTCACCCAATTCCAATGCACGACTAATCTCTCTGTGTGTGTTAAGGATGAGTGAGCAACTTGTTGTTCATATAAGGTTGATCATGACAACAATTTTCGATAAGTGTTTAAAAGTGTATTTTGAAAGTGTATATGTGTATAATCTATGCATCATTTGATAATCTCTTGTGAACCTGGATTAATTGGATATTTGTTCTTAATAAGACCTTTAGATATGAAAATGCCTAGGAAAAAGTACTCTATGGTTTTCCATGTGTGTGAACAAAGGGTTATACGGGATAAGGTTGGTGCGTTGAGCAATGTTTCGAAAAGATTACGGGGTAAGGTTGGTGCATTGAGCTTTTCTCCAAACCATGCAGTTTTGGACCTAAGTGAGTCCACAAATAAAAAGGAGTTATATAGAGTTCATTTATCCAATTAGTGAGTTGTGTTTTGAACAAAAGACTATTGATCTTATTAAGACTATTGATCTTATTTAGAAAATATGTGTGTGAGGTGTGTGACTTTGCCGAAAAGGTAATTATGCATGAGATTTGCTGCAAGTTATATGATGATGAGAAGCATTGTATATTATGAATTTTGTGTGCATTTATGGTGCATTAGATGAATATGAAAGCATGATATGATGGTATGATTATTGAGGTAAAAACAAGTAAGAAGGGAATGCATATAGGGCTTTCCTTTAGCTTTGATGTAAGTATCACTTTGAATGTTAGTTATTCATTGGGCTTTCAGCACACACTCATTGTTAATACTTTTTTAGAGGGTTAGAGGCCGAGTCAGAGGCAAAGAGCAAGCATCTGGTGTGATCGAGCAATATAATTGTTAAACAAAGTGTATGTGGTTTGTTTTTCACAAAATGACTATGTGGAAACCATTGGGAACTTAGTTGAGCTTTGAATGATTGAGTTTGTAATAAACGTGGCATGTTAATTGGACTTAATATTTGCAATGAAGTATGTTGTTGAAGATGTTGAATTCATATGAATGTGTAATTTAAGTGCCAAATTAGTCAAATGTTGAATTATGCCTTAACGAAGTGTTTGGTCTGTTTAGACAAGTGACACTAAGTGCACTAAATGTATTAGACTCATAGGATGTATGAAATGATGACCCAAAATGCATAATTGGACTAGGTGACTTGTGCCAAAAGTGAAAATTTATACAATTTTTGACTTTTGATGCTAGATTCTTGTATAATGTTGTGACTTGTGTTATAAAGCATGCTACAAGTGTATTCTAACACGTATGATGTGGTATGATAGTGTTCAAGCATATATCTAGACCTTATGATTGATTATGTGAAATTTTGGTAGCCTATTTATACATGTTATTGAGAATTTTGTTTTTTTTCCAAAAAAATGATCGATCCCTTAGGGGAAAGGTGTAACATCCTCAATACCGGGTTAGTGACTAAATTGTAAAGTTTCAGAATTTGGTGATTTAAAGTATAATAATTGATTAGTGCAAGGACTTATATGAAATGTTGTATAGGATCAAATTATAAAGAAGAAAGAATAGAAGGATAGAATGGTCTTTTGCAAGGAAAATAATTAAAAAAGGGATTTATATATATTAGCTCCACGTGGAAGAGAAGAAAGAAAAACCAAGGTTCCAAAGTTCTCTTCTTTTCTCCCAAACGTGAAGGCTTATAGCAAAGGTGAGATTTTTCATAAGCTAATTGTTTCCTGAAATTTAAGTTTGGTTTTGCTCCTTAGATGTTAATTAAGTTTAATGAAAGCTTAATTTGCTTTAAAACAACAAGATAAAGAGTGTAGGAAGAATTAAAGATTAGGAGTGCTTGAATGGAATTTTGAAAAAGAGTTCATATTTGGAACCGGAGGTTGAATTTGACTTGTTATCGACTTAATTAAGACACACGAAGTGTTAGAATTAGATTTAGAACATGTTGGAATTTGAGGGAGATTCTTGAAATCTATGTGAAGGATTGAATTTTAAAGTATAAGAGGTATTGAATGGGTATTAATTAGTTTAAGCAGATGTATGCAAGTTAAGGAGATAAAAAGATGGGAAATATGAAGTGTTGAGAGGATTATGAAGAGATTTTCGTGCTAAAATAACATTTCTGGGCTGTGTGCATCGATGCACATTCAATGTGTACCGATGCATCAAGGGTAAAATCCCAGAAATTATTCAAGGTGTATCGATGCACATGAGGTGTATTGATGCACTCCTTTAAAATAAAAACATCGAATGTCATTAGTGTATCAATGCACAAGTAGTGCATCAATGCACCCCCTTAAAATACAAACATTGAATGGGATTTATGTACCGACGCATAGATTGTGCATCGATGCACCCGTCAAGGGATGCATCGATATATGGTGTAGTGCATCGATGCATACCTTCATTAAAAAGATGAAAATAGCTTTCTTTTTAGCCTAAGGAGTGATGGTTTAGAATATATTAATTAGTTTACTGATTAGTATCAATGTATTACTATGTAGATATAGAACGTAATTTCGTTCCGGAACAAACAAAGGATTAGGATCAAGTCAAAATAAGCAAGGCCAAGGTGAGTGCATATCCTAGATGAAATGGAATTGAGACAAGACTTGCGATAAGTCTATCTCTTATCATTGAATTTATGATTTTATATTCATGCACATGCATACATATGTGTTAATGTTATAGTGATTTCATGCATTTTTCATTCATGATTAACATGGTATTATATGAATTAATGCCATTATCAGAGAATTCTTCCAGATATGTGAAATAATGAAAATGATCATATGAAGTGACTTATGTGTTTACATGGACAGTGATGAAAGAGATATGAAATGAGAAATATATTTATAATTAAGCCCATTTTATTTAATATGAGAGCTATAGGTATAATTGGCATGCCAAGAGTCGAGGGATTATCAGTGGTCCTTCGAGACATAGTGGTTCTTCGGAACAATCAGTGGTCCTTCGGGACATAGTGGTCCTTCGGGACAAATATTCAGTGCCCATTGACGGAATTATACAAGCTGTGGTGACAACATAGTGCACAACCTCTATGTACTCACATACCTTTGTTCTCCATAATGTACATGGGCAATTCAAAGAAAGTTAAAGTGGAATTAGCATAAGAATATATGTTTTATATGTGCATGTTACCATCATATATGTTATAGTGAAATAGATGCATACAAATAAAGATGTCATGATCAGATGGTAAGAATGCATGTTCATGAATGCATTGTTATATATATATATATTTATATTATGCCTCACTAAGTCTATGACTTAGCGTGTAAGTGATTTACGTACCAAGAATCAAGAGGAGCAGTAATAGAGGCGACAAGGACAACATCACTACTAAAAGATCATATCAGAAGTAATTGACAAAGTAGATATTTTGGTTATGTATAAAGTGTTGGCATGTAATAAGTGGTTAATTATGAATGCTTTTATCGATTTTGTATTTTGTGGTCTCTTTTAAGTAAATTAATGTATTTGGTTTTAATGAAAGTTTAAAATTTCCCTGTTTTTCTTTAAGTATCAAAGTTTGAAAAGTCAATGTGACACATCGGACTCATATTCGAGTCGGATATGGGTTAAGGGTGTTACATTTAATGGTATCAGAGCTACATTTTAGTCGATTCTCGGCATAAACCGAAGTTTAGAGTGTCCTATAAAGTATGCATGCCAACAAAATAGTGAAAACTTCTGATATGATATAATAGTAAGTATGTTGTTTTGCTGATAGAATGATATGGGTATGTTTTTATAGATGTCCAGACATGGTAGCTCTAGAAGTGAAGCGGGAGATGATAGGCCCGCTGAAAGCAGTAAATCACCTTCCTTGGCCAGGCAGAGTGAAGATCAGGCACCCTCTGGAGTGCCTGTAAGTGATCAAGATGTGTTCTTCAGAACACTGGACGCGGTATTAGTGCGTTTTCAACCTTCTGTTACTTCAACTGTAAGAATGAATGTTGCAAAGGAGTTGAAGGGTTTAGAAGCACCAGAGTTTAGAGGTGAAGCCGAAGAAGGTCCTGTTGCTGTGGACCTTTGGCTTAATGATGTAAAAATCATGCTTGAGGGACTTTATTGTTCCGATCCAGAGAAGCTGGATGGAATAATCTCATTGCTCCGAGGGCAAGCAAGGATTTGGTGGACCAAAGTTACATTGAGAATGCCCGGTGATCAAGTAACTTGGTCTTTGTTCTTAGAAGAGTTTAAGCATAAATATATCGGAGACTAGTTCATCAGAAATATGAAGCAAGAGTTCATGAATTTGAAGCAATGGAATCGTACAATGTATGAGTACAAATGTGAATTCAACAAGTTGAGCCGTTTCATTACGGAGTTAATTCATACAGAGAAGAGTGTTTGTGATTGGTTTGTTGAGGGATTATGTCATCGTCTAAAAGAGATGCTTATTGTGTTGAATTTATCTTCATTTCAAGAAGTGGTGAACCGTGCTAAAGCTCTAGAAAGAGCTCAAAATAAGAGGTTCGGGGATTCCCGAGT